TTTTTATAAAAATTTTACTAATGGAATTGAAATTTCGAGCTTTTCAACATTTTAAAGTATATTACATATTTTTCAAAAAGCCCATAAAATTTCGATGAAATTCAGAAATAATTTTGAATATTTCATATATTTTTTAAAAATACCAAAAGCATTGAAAAAATCGAAAAATATGCCAAAATGATGTTTTACTGCATATTTCGACGATTTTGAGCATTTAGAACACTTTTCAGACAAACCTGATTTTTTATCTAAAAGTCATGGATTTTCAAACTTTTTTTTATCAGAATTTCTAATGGAATTGAAATTATCGAGGCTTTTCAGCATTATAAAGCATATTACATATTTTTCAAAAAGCCCATAAAATTTCGAAGAAATTCAGAAATAATTTTGAATATTTCATATATTTTTTAACAATACCAAAAGCATTGATAAAATCGATAAATGTGGCAAAATGATGTTTTACTGCATATTTCGACGTTTTAGAGCATTTAGAACACTTTTCAGACAAACCAGATTTTTTAGCTAAAATTCATGGAATTTCAAACTTTTTTTTATCAGAATTACTAATGGAATTTAAATTTTTGAGGCTTTTTAACATTTTGAAGTATATTACATATTTTTCAAAAAGCCCATAAAATTTCGATGAAATTCAGAAATAATTTTGAATATTTCATATATTTTTTAAAATACCAAAAACATTGAAAAAATCGAAAAATTTGGCAAAATGATGTTTTACTGCATATTTCGACGATTTAGAACACTTTCAGACAAAACCTGATTTTGTAGCTAAAACTCATGGATCTTCAAACTTTTTTATCAGAATTACTGATGGAATTGAAATTTTTGAGTCTTTTCAACATTTTAAAGTATTTTACATATTTTTCAAAAAGCCCATAAAATTTCAATGAAATTCAGAAATAATTTTGAAAGCAACTTATATATGACATTTTAGTGTAGTATTGTGTCAATATATATTTCATGTGTGAAAATCCATGTATTTTATGTAAAAATAAAGGTTTGTTTGAAAAGTGCTCTAAATGCTCCAAATCGTCGAAATATACAGTAAAACATCTTTTTTACCATATTTTTCGATTTTTTCAATGCTTTTGCTATTTTTAAAAATACCTGAAGCATTGAAAAAATCAAAAAATATGGTAAAATGAGGTTGTTTTTTTTAAAAATACCTGAACATTAAAAAAAATCAAAAAAAAAAAATGTGGTAAAATGATGTTTTTCGCATTTTTCGATGATTTCAGCATTTAGGCACTTTTCAATTAAACCCACTTTTTAGCAAAAAATTTCAGGGATTTTCACACTTAAAATTTTATTTTGACACGATACTACACTAAAATGTATTTAAGTTTTTTCGAATAAAATTAAATTTCTTCATAATTTTTGAAAAAAAATTTTTTAAAATCCATGAATTTTAATAAAAAAACGGTTTGCTGAAAATGTTCTAAAGATCTAAATCATGAAATATGCAGTAAAAACATCATTTTGCCATTTTTTTTCGATTTTTAAATGTTTTTTGGTATTTTAAAAAAAAAGTGAAATTTAAAAATTATTTCTGATTTTTGGAAATTTTATGGCTTTTGAAAAATAATAATAAAATTTTAAAAATTTTTGGGAAAACCCCGAGAATTTAAATTCCATTAGTAATTCGATAGAAAAGTTTCAAAATCCATGAATTTTAGCTAAAATCATTTTGTTTGAAAGTTTTTCAAAATGCTCCACATCGCCGAATATGCAGTAAAACAACATTTTACCATTTTTTTCGATTTTCCAATGTTCAGGTATTTTAAAATAGCAAAAGAAAAAAAAAAATCAAAAAAAAAAATATGGTAAAATGATTTTTTTACTGCATATTTCGACGTTTTTGGGCATTTATAGCATTTTTTCAAGAAACCTTTCTTTTTAGCTAAAATACAGGGGTTTTTTCATACTTGAAATATATATTGACCATACTACATAAAAGTCATTTTAAAGTTCTTTCACCAAAAAATTTCAATTCCATAAGTAATTGAAAAAAAGTTTGAAAACCCATAAATTTTTAGTGTTCAAAAAAATGCTCAAACGTCGAAATTTGCAGTAAAACATCATTTTCCCTGTTTTTTCGTTTTTTAAATGCTTTTGGTTTTTTCAAAAATATATGAATTTTGAAATCCTAAATTATAAAAATCCCTGAGCATTGAAAAAATCGAAAAAAAAGGTAAAATGATGTTTTATGCATATTTCGACGTTTGGGCATTTAGAACATTTTTTCCAACAAAATCTGATTTTTTAGAAAAATTTCATGGATTTTCAAAACTTT